TAATGCTGGCTTATCATTGAGTTCGTTTCGAATTCTTTTGTTTTCCGCTTTTAGCATCGACACATTTTTCATCAAATCGTCCATTTGTTGGTGATCAATGTCCGTTTGACAAGAAACAGACACATTCCTTTTCCTTGAATTCTTTTATTCCGTGAACTTTGTCTTCCTTTACCATGTAGTCATGATCTTTTAAAGCAATATCAGTGAAGACATGGAAAATTTTGGCGGGAACTACTTCTTTGATGCCTTCAATTGAATTTCGTTTTCTCCGCTCACTGGACCTTTCTTTGTGTTGATTCGGACATATAGGGTGTGAATATGGATTAAAAATTGTTGGAACCGTCCCTTGTACTAATTTTTTGATCCCAGAAAGTTTCTTTACGATTTGTTTCGTCTCAAAGTGTTCAGAGCATATGTGTAACTTCTTGATTGACGTAAACTCCTTATCAACCCGACGACAGAAGGCAATCCATTTTTCTTTTTAAGTCTCTCTTCGCCTGGAAACTCGAAAAAGTTGAGATCCGGCCGTTTTTTAGAGTTGTTTTTGCACACAGCGATCGCACAAAACCTCATGTCACACTTAAAGTCTCTCCGATCTACTTTCAAAATAAGCGCTTATTCCCCTCAGCCTCGACTTGGTGCTCTTAATTAGTTACCAGACTTTCTGGCACTAACAATTCGAAACTAGCCTATTAATCGACGTAGTACGCGAAGACCAGTTGAGAATATTCGAACGTTTTATATGGAATCGTACGAGGTACAACATATAATGAAGTTACAACTCCGAATATTCTGAAATATGAACATTTCACACATAACATTAATAAACCTTACTCACTCCTTCGTTTTCGTCGTGGTTTTTCAGTGGGGACTGCACACTACGATTTAGACCGTTGTCCACGCGGAGGCGATTTTGCGCCCAGAGAATCCATCCAATCGGCAATTTTTTCACCCATAGTTTACTATCTAAGATCATTGCTCCCTGGCAAATGTCTCATTTCTAAAAGTCTCCGCGGATTACACTGAAAACAAGCGATTTCTGTCTGCGTTTCCAGGCTCACTTCTTTGTGTGATAAGCCCGCAGGACACAATCGCGGAAAAGGCTTGGGTCTAAGGTCAATTTTCTCTCAACCAAGGGTGGCACGGTCAATTTATGGACATTACTTAACATCCCCACGGTGACACCTCCCTTAGCTCCATCTTCCCGACGTGACACGAAAAGAGATAAAATAAAGGAGAAATTTGAGCATTCTGCGTTCTGTGAACACTCATTAAAAAAAAGCTTGAATCGTTTTCGCTACCAGCCCCGGTAAAGAGCTGTTGGCGACCCAAGCCTCTCGTTTAAGCCCTTGATCGATTGTGCTTGTAAAAGTAGCGTATTATCAGTGTAAGCTCCAACCCAACCCTCTCCTTAAATATTAACTTAATAATATAAATAGACTAAATAGGCTGCTTAACAAGTGCATGTAACAAATGTATTTACCCGGCGACATTTAGGACAAGTTATTTTAAAGGTACAAAAGTTGTCGCCAGCAAAAAGTCTCTTGAAATAATACGACTTAAGTTTACGCTTAAAAGAGTCAATAGACTCAGCCTGCCTAACATCATTAGGTAAGTTGTTCCACAAATTTGCTATCTCATTAAAATAGAAGTCCCGAAATGCTGATGTACGATTATTATTAATCTCTAAGTTCAGCTCTGAGCAAGCTTGTTTTATGCTTGTATTACGCTTGTATTGTGCTTGTATTACGGTTTATGGCTTCATTTTCTTGCGTGATACACGTTGTTTTGTTGCAAACAAAAAGAAGAGAGTTTCTTCTTTGACTCCTTTATATAGGCGAGAGTCTGAGTGGATAAGCATTCAACCAATTATTGAAGTCCCCGACGATGGGGGAGGGTGTAGGAGTTCCAAATCAAAAGAGAAATTTTCCAGGGGGCTTATATCGGCGAATTCGGTCGGGAGATGCTGGTCCGAAAAATATCTCCACATTTGATATCCCCAGAGGACCAATGGTTGACATCTCTGTATTATGCTATTAGCAGTGCCCGATTTTTCTCCAAATTATGTTCAAAATTATGCTCGTTTTTTAAAATTATGCTACCTTTTCTGTAGGCTTAAAAATAAAAAATAAAAAAGCAACTAACCTAAAAAACAAAATTAGATATTTATTGTTAATAAAGCATCATGTTTTCTTTATCTTGAGTTACACACTTGCTCTGATAAAACACTGTGTCAAAATGTACGATGTCAGTATCATATTTAATGTGTTCTGATTAGCACTTGTTATATTGTAGCATATCACACTTGCTTGTAAGTAATCCGACATTGCACTCTCTTGCTGAGAGTATGCTAAAAACTCTCTCTGAAGCAGCAGAAGATGGCTGAACCAGGAGCACCTTCTTGACTGCGGAGGACCAGCGGGCTCTGGCCTATCAGGCAGCTGTACATGTTCTCCTTCTAAGTTTCTCGACGCCATTTTGTTGCCTGTGAAAGTAGTGGGAACTGAGACTGACGCAATCGTTACTTCCGGTGTGCCCAGTCCTCTAGGTGACCAACGACGCAGTATTGCGATAGCCTTCTTCCCCTCCCCCAGACGAATGAAAATAGACTGAACCATGGACCAGAAACCATATATCAATTGACAAGATAAGATAAGACAAGATAAGACTTTTATTTGAACACGGTAATAAATATAGCTAACAGCTTGAGGCGTCGTGTATTCAGTTTATATATTATTAAAATAAGAAGAAGACTAGCTGAATAAGTAAAAGGCTAACACTAACATCTTAATCAAAAGTAGAGAAAGTCATCATTTTTATGGCGGACAGCTGAAGCTGAAACAATATTAAATTTAAAATCACTAAAATAAGGCTTTGTTTTCAAGTTTCGAAACAGCTCATTCGGGTTTTTGTGCAAGATATTACGTTCATTTGAGCTAATAGTGTTCCAAAAGATTGCGCGCGCCTCCATAGGCAAGGGAATCTTTTATAAACCTAGTATTAAATCTTGGGACTGTCAGTGAATCGTCTCCTCTAGCTCAAGGAATAGCCATTGGAACTTTTTGATGTAAATATCCTTGTAGAATTGTGGGAGAGACTCATTATGTGCTTTATAGAAAAGTTTAAAAATATCCATCTTGTAGAGTGAAAACAGAGTAGACCAGTGGTTATAATTGAGCACGTCGCATGATGCCATGTCTTGAGGCAGGTTATAGATAATTCTAGCTG